TTTGTTCTTTATCATTTATTTTGGACTCATTTCATTTTATAGCTCTCCATTTTCCCATTATTTTACATTTATTTTCATGGGCATATGGTGGTAGCGATAGAAATTTATGTTTAATTATTTGATAGGTTAGCTCATTTCTTATCCTTTAGGGTCCCCGTCAGGCACATGCAGGCTCATGTGTAACTGCACCTAAAGCAGATGGGTTTTGCTATGGTCCAACTGACACTGAGCTCTTTCAGGGTGTCTGCAGATCACAGGTCCCCCACAGATTGTCCTTAAATGCTGCTCATGCTCCCTGGTAGCATAATGGGTTATGAGTTGGGCTGTTGACTTCAAGGTTAGCAGTTCAAAACCACCACCTGCTTCATGGGAGAAAGATAAGGCATTCTATTTTCGTTAAGAGTTCGAGGCTCGGAAACCCATAGAGGCTGTTCTACTCTGTCCGAAAGGTTGCTGTCAATTGGGATTAACTTGATAGCAGTGAATGTTTGCTTTTTTCACTGTTGTGGTTGAAATAAGAACCCTGGTATTGCTGTCAGGTAAACATTGGGCTGCTAATCAGAGGGGCCGCAGTTCAAACCCACCAGGCCATCTGCAGGAAAAAGTTAAGGCCCCCAGGTGTCACAAAGATGTACAGAGTAGACCTGCCTCACAAGGTGTAGCAGTTACATAATTTCCTGTCAACTTGATAAAGTGAAGAGGTGGAGTTTAGCCTGTCAATCTGGTCACAGACTGATTGTGGCATAGCTTTCTCATGAGGAAGATTCTGGGAACTTCTCTCTCTCTCTGCTTCACCTTCCTGTGGAGGAGCCACTCTCAGAGAGCTGGAGGAGCCACGTGGAGACCTGTGCCAGCACTGAGATGCTTCCACCAGCATTGGATCCAGAAGACTCTTCATCCACCAGCCTGTGATCTTACTGCATTCAACATCATTGCATGCACTGTGTGAGTCTGAAGAGGATCTTATGGACTAGTAGCAGACATATGGGCTAATATCAGACTTATGGATTTGATCTGGACTGGGCTGAGATGTTGCCTTGGTTTACAATTACTCTTTGATATAAAGCTCTTTCTTATACATATATGAATGTCCCTGGATTTGTTTTTTAGTCGACCCAGCCTAACACGTAAGGTTGTTGGGCTGTAATCAGTCCCTGAAGAAGGACTTCATGCTTAGTAAAGTAGAGGGTCACCAAGTTGGACTGGCACAGGGACTACAGTAGTGGGCTCAAATGTAGAAACAATTGTGCAGGTGGCACAGAACCAAGTCATGTTTCATTCTGTTGGTTTTTTTTAAGAAGGTCGCTACAAGTCAGAATCAACTCAAAACACCTAACAGCCACTGCAACAGAGCAGAGAGGTGAAACACTACAGCAAGGAATTAGTAATCATTCTGGAGTGAATAAATTCACTTAGCTCAAAGATTCTTAGTGTGTGATTCATGGGGTACCCAACAAAAAAGTGAACAAACTCACTGCCATCAAGTTGATTCTGACTCATAGTAACCCTGTCGGACAAAGTACAACTGCCCTCTGTGAATTTCGGAAACTATAGATTTTGACGGGGTTAGAAAGCCTCATCTTTCTCCGCAGGAGCAGCTGGTGGGTTTGAACCACCAACCTTATGGTTAGCAACCTAACATGCAACTCCTTGAGCCACTAGGAGTCTCAAGGAGTTCCAGGCACCTTGCACTTCATCTTCAGTGACATCCCAAAGAAAGATCCAAAATGAAATTGTTTCAGAGTAACCTCGAGGCAAGAACTCACCTTGAGATGCTCAACCCCACCTGACAGCTCTAGGTAAAAGATGCCGAGAATTCTTTTGCTGCTACTGAGGCAATGAGACCCTCAGGTCCTGCCTTGGTCTCCTGGACAGGTTATTGCTTCTTCACTGCAGATCTGGAGCAGAGTAAGAGAACAGAGCTCCAGTACATCCAACTCACATATGAAGTGAGAGGAGAACACTTAGATTCAACCCAAAGGTTCAAAATCTTGTGTGCGCTGAGACCCCCAAGGGGCAACCTTGATGTGTTTTCCTGAAGTATGCGGGATGATGGTGGGGGCTTGTTATGAAGGAGTTTTAAGCAAATTGAGAATTGCCTGGGTGAGGAAAAGTTCAGGATGGTTGCACCAAGGAATTGTTTCCATCGCAACAAGGCACCTACGCATTCTTCTAGCACAGCTGTTCTATGAGAATTTTGTTGGCAAACTTTACTCCATCTGCCCTACCGCCGTGAGCTTGCCCTTCAGACTTCTTTTGGTTTCCCAAACTCAAAGAACATGGAAAAGGAACACAATTTGAAGCCACCAAGGGTGCCCAAACTGTTGTGTTGATGTGCTGCCTATCAAAGAGAACAGGAGTTTTGGGGGAAGGGTTAGAGGGATGGAAACACCGCATTCAGATGTAGAGAGCACTAGATGTAGGCTATGTGGAGGAACAATAGTTTCACCCATTGAGATTTTTGTTCCATAAAGGTGTCTTTTATTTTGTAGCGATGATTTTGGACTTGTCCCTATAAAAAACGGACTTCTGGGAAAGAGTTTAAATTAAAATTGATGTGTTTGCTCTATTCTTTTTTTTTTAACTAGGTGAAAATAGACAAACATTTATTCAATCATCAAGATGGAATGATTTCTCCTTCTTGGTTTTTTTTTTTTTAATATATATATATATATATTACATAGCTTCCTTGGACTGTGTTACATATTCACGTCTTGGCTGCATCCATTCGGCTTTCCTCAAAGTACAAATGTGGATATAGATTCCTACCTACTAAAGATACCATAGCCTCATGAGTTCAAGTTCTTTTCCTTCTCTTCTGTTCTTTTGACTTTTTCCTCTTTGAGGGGTGGGGGGACAAAAAGCTAGACAAGTAGCATCCTGTTCCCAGCTCAGAAGTTAACCAAGCCTGGAAACTCAGACACACAACCACTTTCCAAAATTAATGATAGGGACCCCTGGTGGGAGAGTGGCTGAGCGCTCAACTCTCAACTGAACCCACCGGGTACTCCACAGGAGGATGGTTGGCAGTCTGTTTCCATCCAGATTAAAACCTTGAAATAGGGCTGCTCTGCAGTGGGACCAACTTAATGGCAATGGGTTTGGTTTTTACTGAGATTAATATTGAGCCCTACAGGAGCCCTGGTTGACCTTGTGATTACACGGTGGGCTGGTAACTGCAAGGTCCGCGATTCGAAACCACCAGCCACTCCTTGGGAGAAAAGACAGGATTTTCTACTTCCATAAAGAATTACAGTCTTGAAAACTTATAGGGGGAAGTTCTACCCTGTCCTATAAGGTCGTTATGAGTCGGCATCCACTCGTTGGCATTGAGAATATCGAGCCCTGGTAGGTCTGGGAGATAAGTATCAGACTGTGAACTTCAAGGTCAATAGTTTGAACCCACCAGTCCCTCCAAAGTTAGAAAGATAAGGCTGTTTGTTTCCATAGAAACTGACACTCTGGGAAAACCCCAAGAAGCAGTTCTACCCTGTTCTGTGGGTCATTATGAGTTGGAATTGACTTGATGAAAGTGGGACGGGTCTGGTTTGGTGTCATCATGGTGAGTGAGGCATCTCTTACAACCACCAGTGAGCCACAGTGGAGAAGAGAAGGAAATTGACTGCCACGGGCTTCGGCTTTTCTGCTAGCCACTCACCTGCACACAACGCCCTAGGGAATCCACAGAACACTGGCCAGGTGAGGTGTGGGCTCTGGGTCCAGACCTGCCATTGCCATGAGTCACGGCAAATCCTCACGCTGGTATTCTGCCAGTGTGCATGAAATGGTGTGCCTGGAGAGATCTCCTAAAGGAGCCTTGGATTGGAGCCTTAGGCAGAACCCATCTGTAATACAGAGGAAGAGGCTCCTGGGCCGTGCTTGCAGGCACAATTATATGTGAAGAAGTAAATGCCCCATACCGGGAGGGTAGACGGAGGGTGGAGTGGAAAGGGGGAACTGAATATAGGGCTCTACATATAACCTCCTCCCTGGGGCACGGACAACAGAAAAGTGAGTCAAGGGAGCCATCAGACAGGGCAAGATATGACAAAATAATAATTTATAAATTATCAAGGGTTCATGAGGGAGGGGGAAAAATGAGGAGCTGAT